CCTGCTGACATTTGGAATACTGATGGCACAGCCTCAAGCCTCACAGCAATGTGCAAGCCACCACAGTATGATAAACTGACAGACAAGTTTGTCTCCCTTACCTGTTCGAAACCTCTCCACCCTCTCCTTACCTGGATCCTACCTGGACCCTGCAGCATTGTTGTTTGCAGCATTCCCTCTCTTTCCTGCCTCTGAGGGTGGGGCCTGTCTCCTTCCCCTCACCTGGACCTTGTGGCTTTTGTTGTCTCCAGCATTCTGCATTTCAACTGTTGTTTTTAGTTGCCATCCAATGTGCTCCAACTCATGGTGACCTTATGTATAACAGAATGAAATGTTGTTCAGTCCTGTGTCATCTTCATGTTGGTATGTTTGAGTCCATTGCTTTGGCTAAAACTGAAAAGACTAACAATACCAAGTGTTAGGGAGAATGGGGAACAACTGGGATTCTCATATATTTCTATCAGGAACATATGGAAACATATGGAAACAACCACATTGGAAATAGTTTGGCAGTTTCTTAAAAAGTTAAACATCCAACTTAGCTTAGGTATTTACCCATGAAGAATGAAATTATATGTGCATACAAAGACTTTTTCATGAATGTTTATAGTAGCTTTATTCAAAATGTCCCCAAGCTGGAAACATCTAAATGTCTATCTACAGGGGAATAAGTAAACAAGTTGTCATGTGTCCATTCAATAGAATATTGTTCTTGTTAGGTACTGTCGAGCCATTTCTGACTCATAGTGACCATATGTACAACAGAACTAAACACTGCCCAGTCCTGTACCAGCCTCACAATCCTTGCTATACCTGAGCCTATCGTTGCAGACACTGTGTCAAACCATCTTGTTGAGGGCCTTCACCTTTTTTGTTGACCATCCACTTTACCAAGCATGATATCCTTCTCTGGGGAATGATCCCTTCTGACAACATGACCAAAGCAGGTGAGATGAAGTCTGGCCATTCTTGCCTCCAAGGAACATTCTGGTTGCCCTTCTTCCAGGATAGGTTTGTTCATTCTACTGACAGTCCATGATATTTTCCATATTCTTCACCAACACCACAACTCAAATGGAATGAACTTTTAAAAAACAGAGCATTCTTGAATCTCAAAAATTATGCTATGCAAAGAAGCCAGATACAGAAGAGTATATGCCGTATGTTTCCCAAGTACATGCAATTTTAGAGGTAAAGTTAATCTAAAGTTATAGAAAGTGGATTGTGGTTTCCTGTGGCACAGAATGGGAAGAGATTGACTGAGTAGGGTGTGAGGGAGCTTTATAGAATAATGAAAATATTCTATATCTTGATTGTGGCTGTGGTTACACAGGCATATATATTTTTCAAAACCCATAGAACTACTTTCAACTACTTAAAATGTGTACATTTTATTATGTATACATTTTAGCTTGATGAAGTTGATTAAATGAAAATGCTATTAAGGGGGAAAAAAAAATGTTAAACAGATGCAGGGAGGCATAGGAGGGAGACAAATTGACAATCAGGATAGGAAGCAAACCAGTAGGAGTAACAAAGGGCATCAGATACTCAAAGAAAACAAAGTGCTAATTTAGAGCCCAAATGAATTCTTGAGAATGTCCAGCTGTCTTTCATGGCCCTGCACTGTCCATACAGGTGGCTGCTATACTCTGCTTACCTGAAAGACACGCAACATCTTCACTTGGTATATCCAAGTCATGCTTAGGAAGTTAAGATTATTCCTTATTTCCCAGCAGATAAAGCAAGGATCGGCCCACCCTCTATTTTTATAAATAAAGTTTTATTGGAACTCAACCACACTCACTTGTTTACATATTTTCTATGACTACTTTTTTTTCTTTTATTTAATTTTTAAAAAATTTTTTTTATTGTGATTTGGGTGAAAGTTT